TTCAGCTCACCATAAAAACTAACTTTGAAACTGGCAACAAGAACACTTTCTTCATCCTTAATTTCAGCTCACCATAAAAACTAACTTTGAAACTGGCAACAAGAACACTTTCAACTTCATCCTTAAACTCATTATAAGACTAACTTTGAAACTGGCAACAAGAACACTCATTCATCGCTTTGCTATTCTAAATTCATAATCTTACGATAAACACTTATTAATATACCTAAAAAATATATAAATACAAAATTCTATAACACAACTTGTATTATTAAACATTTTGAAAAACAAACTTTTTTTTTAACTATCGTATTTGCTAAAAAAAATAATATTGTTCTGATTCTTCCTAAAAGCCCCCCCTCCCCAGTGGCACAGCGGTATGTCTGCGGACTTACAACGCTAGAATCCGGGTTTCGATACCCGTGGTGGGCAGAGCACAGATACGCTTAATTAAGAACAACAATTGATCACAAATTGTGCACCTGTACAAACATTTGTGCAGTTGAAAATTCACCTACATAAGTAAGTTCAAGTGGAAAAATATAAAAAAACAACGTATTTAAGATTATAAAATTCCATTCCAGAGTTGATAAATACTAGAATATTCTTCATTTTTTGGATCATTTGTTACTAGGCCTGCATACATGAGGTACAATAAAGCGTCATGTATTAAAAAATAATGAAGTTACAATATAATTGTGCAGTTGAAAAAAATCCTTAGGTAAAGCTCTGAAATTAAATAACCGAAATGAAAATATGGTAAAATACCATGGATAACTTTACAGAGTTGTAGAGGAATTAAGAAGAAAAAAGGCGAAAATAAAATAGCTCTGGATGGTTTCTTTGAATTTCTTAATTAGACTGTGATAAGTTTGTTTTAGCACATTGGGCTTTCTGGGCTCTGTCCACTGCATTGCTCGAATCCCAGATTTTAACGTAATTATCATAGCTATAAATATGTTTTGTATTAGTTTGAACTGTAATTATCATAGCTATAAATATGTTTTGTATTAGTTTGAACTGTAATTATCATAGCTATAAATATGTTTTGTATTAGTTGGAACTGTAATTATCATAGCTATAAATATGTTTTGTATTAGTTTGAACTGTAATTATCATAGCTATAAATATGTTTTGTATTAGTTTGAACTGTAATTATCATAGCTATAAATATGTTTTGTATTAGTTTGAACTGTAATTATCATAGCTATAAATATGTTTTGTATTAGTTGGAACTGTAATTATCATAGCTATAAATATGTTTTCTATTAGTTTGAACTGTAATTATCATAGCTATAAATATGTTATGTAATAGTTGGAAATTTTATAATTACGAACTTTGCCACATATGTAATCTAACAGTTTGATTGATTGTTTGAAGTTAAGCACAAAGCAACACAATGAGCTATCTGTGTTCTGCCCACTACGGGCAGAGAAACCCGTATTTTAGGGTTGTAGGTTTACAGACATACCGCTATGCCACTGGGGGGCTAGCCTGATAGAATTAAATATTTAGTTCAGTCTGTTTGTAATTAAGCACGAAGCTACACAATGGACTATCTGTGCTCTGCCCACCACGGGTATCGAAACCCGGTTTCTAACGTCGTAAGTTCGCAGACATGCCGCTTGTGCCACTGGGAGGCCTTTACTTCAAACTGGGAGATGTTAAGTATTTACAGTTTGTCTTTTTTTAAAACAAAACAATATAGAGCATTGAGGATAATCAGTTAATAGTTTTAGGAAATAGTTTGTTTTGTGTTTT